TTAATTCGTTATTACGGATTACTAATTCGTTATAACGGATTATTTAATTCGTTATTACGGATTATTAATTCGTTATTACGAATTACTCATACGTTCTGAGTCATACTTGGCAAGTATGGCACAGGAGTGCAAACGTTGTATGCAAAGATAGCGCCGCCTAGCGGCCCTATATACACAGGCCCCTGGTCACGTGCTCTCCACGTGTGAGAACATCAGACCTAATCCGTAATAACGAATTAAATAATCCGTTATAACGAATTAGTTATCCGTAATAACGAGTTAAATAATCCGTAATAACGAATTAATAATCCGTAATAACGAATTAAATAATCCGTTATAACGAATTAGTAATCCGTAATAACGAATTAATAATCCGTAATAACGAATTACACAATCTGTAACATATATACTTGCAGTGGCGCTAATGGGCTTTCGTACAAAACACATCATGTACAATGTACATGTACTTGCAAAATTACATTGTTGGAAGTTGGAATCCTCTTGCATGCAGCAAACAATTTGAATAATAAAAGTAAGGCTGTGGACGGTCACGGTGGGCGGTAATTGTGGGTGGAGCGTGGCAAGCAAAGCTCTCCATTGGCTGAAACGTAAATGCCCGTCTTGCGTACGTTCAAAACGAATGAACACTAATCGGAACGAAAATAACGTTCACGTTTCTTGGGATTTTTCGTCGTCTTGGAAAGAAACAAACAGCGCCACATATGTGCACAAAAGCCAAATAGCACGCACATCGCGTATTATCCCCGTCGATGGGAAATGTATACACGCAGGCACAGGGCACTGACGGGCCAATCACGCGTCGGCGCGGCCCTACTTGTTTGTTGATTACTTGTATGTTGCCAATGATTATTGATGTTGATGATTGTTGATGATTGTTGATGTTGATAGTTGATATTGATAATGATTGTTGATTGTTGATGTTCATGTTGATCTGTTAATTGTTGATTGTTGATGTTGACGTTGATTATCGATTGTTGATTTTGATTGTAGATTTTGATTGTTGATGTTGACTGTTGATGTTGATTGTTGATGTTGATTGCTGTTCATTTTGCCTTGTTAATTGTTGATTCTTGATGTTGACGTTGATTGTTAATTGTTGATGTTGACGTTGATATTAATGTTGAGGGTTGAGTGTTAAGGGTTGAGGGTTGAAAAATAGCGCCTGTAGTAATTATACAGAGAACAATTAAAAAAATCAGGTGAGGATCTGCATGCGTATGCTGCTGTAGTGTAAACTTATCAAGTGCAATTGAGACAAAAACCCATTAAATAGCTGATATCTCTAAAAGGCAAGGTCGCACACCATTGGCCCAATACAAAATATTGCTCGCCATAACTTCTTCACCACAATGCGCATGTTTTTAGGGGGAAAAAACACCCCAATTTAAAAAAAATAGAGGTTGTAGGACCAACCACACGGTGTTGGGCCATGGATCACCGCAAACTTTGCCACACACATCAACTCAAAATATGCATGTTTAAATCCATGTTTCACTTTTCAACATGCCGCCAGAGGGCGCTCTAACATTTGATGACGTCACGTGTAAAATTTGTGTACAGTACTGCCTAGGTAGACACTCGAATCGTTGAAAGCAAGTTCGCATCTTCTGCCAATTTCAATTAATAAGGCACTTCCGGTTTTGACCGGAAGGAAGGGTCACGTGATTTTGCACTTAAAACCAAAAATGAAGACCCTGCAATATTTTATCGATTGTCATAAAAAAAATCAAATCTGTAGCAGTTGATTTTATATTGATTTTAAAAGATTAAATATGGAAATTTGCTTGTAATATGACACTTGATGACGTCATTGTGACGTCATCGCCAGAAACCTCCAGAGCTATATTTACTAGACTGCTATATATAGCCACATGTTGATTATATCTCTCACGGTTGATTTTTTAGCAATTGTTTAAGGTTTAAAGGTCTTTTCTTTATAACTTCCGGTCTGATGACGTCATCCATTTTTTTCGCGCACAGGTATTTTCTGCATTAAGTTCATCATGTATATTCAGTTTGAAGCGATTACCGCAAATTTCGCCACATACATCAAGTGATAATGCGTTTTCGACATTTTTAAACTGCCGCTAGAGGGCGCTCTAACTCTTCATGGCGCCACCGATCATTTTTTTTTAAAAGGTCAACCCACCCGCAGACTAACATCGTTGAAAGCAAGTTCATATCTTTTTCCACTTTTTATCTTTTTCCGGTTTCGACCGGAAGGAAGGGTCACGTGATTTTGCACGCACAAGATAAATTGAAGATCATGTATAATCATGTTGATTCCCGCAAAATTCAATTTCCGGTCTCTGACGGTTGATTTGATACTAAATTTCACAGATTAAATTTATTATTTTTTGAAGTGACGTCATGTGACCCATAATGACGTCATGATGACGTAATTGCAAAAAAATACATTTTCAGTGGGTTGTGTTTTCAAGTATTGACAATTGAAGTTCATATCACTTTTTATGTTGACAAACAGTTCTGGTTCAGTTCTTGAGTGTCTGGTTTTACGACTGTTGTATGTTAACTATTGAGCTAATGGCTGTTTGATGGACCAATGTATTTTAAGTGTTTACCGGTGTTTTGTACACGTTTATATATGACAACTTCTTAACGCAAGCACATTTTTGACTTCTGATGACGTCTTATGATACTCAAAAATTGGGCTGGCAAAAGCGCCCAATTGGGCGATTAGACTTTTCGATTAGGCTTTTTCCCCTAAAAACAAGGGCATTGGGGTAAAGAGGGTATGGCGAGCAATATTTTGTATTGCGCCAATGGTGTGCGACCTTTACTTTTAGAGATATGAGCTATTTAATGGGTTTTTGTAACAATACTTGTACTGGATACGTTTACAGTACAGCAGCATACGCGCGTGCAGATCCTCACCTGACTCTTTTTAACTATCCTCCGTATAATTACTTCAAGCGGTGTTTTTCAGCCCTCAACCCTCAACATTGACATCAACATCAACAATCAACATCAACATCAACAATCAACATCAACAATCAACAATCAACAATCAACAATCACATCAACAATCAACATCAATAATCATTCATCAACATCAACAATCAACATCAACAATCATCAACAATCAACATCAATAATCATTCATCAACATCAACAACTAACTTTCAACAATCAACAATCAACAATCAACATCAACATCAACATCAACAATTAACAATTAACATCAACTATCAACAATTAACATCAACAATCGTGACAAATAACATCAATAACCAACATCAATAATCAATATCAACAATCAACATCAACAATCAACATCAATAATCAACATCAATAATCGTTAATCAACAACAACAATCAACTATCAACAATCAACATCAACATAAACAACCAACAATCAACCTCAACAATCAACATCAACAATCAACAACAACAATCACCAATCAACAACGCGAAAAGCCAAACCTCTAGCCCAACACCGTGTGTTTGTCCCTTCAAACTCTAGTTTTTTTAATTTGTTATTTTCAAATCCTCACTTTTTGGAATCAATGTTCGTATGGCCAAGCGTACGTGTAGAGTCTACTCAATGCGGGCCATAGACTAGGGCTAAAGTCAACCTCGTCCCCAGGGTGTCGAGCAGTACGCGCCCATCACTACCTGCTCTATTGGAAACGAGGTTGGAAATAAAGTAAGCACTGGGGACGAGGTTGGGCTAGAGTCTACTCAGTGCGGGCCATAGTCTGGTTCCCAGACCAAAAGATTCTGACTATTCCTGATGAATGTTAGGTCAGGTAGCCTCCGGTTATACATTGTATTACAATTCACGTCACGTGACTAAAACGGGAGGAATTCCTCCTTTTTCCGAAAATTTCCGAAGTTTGCCGAATTCGTTTCGTCAACAATCGGATAGCGCCCGAGTATTTCCGAGTATAATATAGGTTTAATTGACTGCTACTTGCTTATTAATTTTTTTGTAAATGAGTTGATAATTAATATTCATTGCTTTCATTTAGAAAACTTGAAATTCAACGACGATTTTTTGCATCAAATATATTCGGATCGTATAGGCGAACTTTTTGCTGCGTCATGTACAATTTTGAATTTGACGACCGTTACCGAGATTTTCCAAAACTCGGTCTTCGTTCGGCTGCACCTGCTAACAGTGCTATTTTGGTGCCTAATTTTGAAGATTCCAGATCAACATTAGACAATGTTATCTTACAGAAACATCAAACTGTATTATCATAACTGTATGATATTACGAAGCAAGTGTTTATTTAAAAATGTTATCAGAACATTAAAAGTTAAAAGTGATAAAGGAAAATCGGAAACGAAGCCGAGCTTTGAAAAAGGCCAACAATGTCATGTTTGTTTTTGTATGCGGTGTCCGGGGTAAAAACAGAGTCAATTCGTCGCACACGCAGTGCGAGCATAGCGTGAGTTACGAAAACACGATTTAAAACTGTTACGATCTTATCGAGACAACATGCAGTATCACATATATTATGAACAAAGGAAATGAGTATTTTCGAGAAGTCGTGGAGAAATGATCACGAAAACACGTACTGCACGTTGTGAATAACAACACCAAGTATACTAGTCGTGTTCCCTAACGTGACGAACTTCGAAGCTTACCCAACTTTCCTCGTGTAGTGTTCCCAAACCTCTTTCTTGACAAACCTCAAATTCATGCAGTGAAATACTGGTACTTTTACCTTATTAATGCTTGCAAATTAAACTCTGTAAAGAATTTCGGTTTCATAAAATTTAATCACTGTGCTTTGCCTCCGTTGTCGGACTCCTACTTCGACTCTACTGTTTCAATTAGCAGTGACGAGATTTCCAACAGCTTCGACAACTCGCTGTCATTTTTACATCAACCTGACCAAACACTAGCTTCTGAGGTTAATGCTACTAGTTTGAGGGCAATTTTTGGTGCGAACATCAATGCTCGGAGCATTAAAAACAAAGTATCGGAACTCCAGGCAGTTGTTCACTCAATGAACTTGTCTGTTGTCGCTGTCACTGAAACATGGTTGGACTCCACAATTCCGGACTCTGCTCTATTCGAGACTCACAGTGTGTTTCGTAAGGATCGCAATCGTCGAGGTGGAGGTGTGTTACTTGCGATTTCGAATTCTCTGAATCCAACAGCAGTTGATTCCAGTGGTTTTCCATCATCCATTGAGTTTGTATGCGCTGCTTTTACCATTAATTCTGAGCGTTGGCTCTGCGGAGCATACTACAGGCCTCCCACGGATGCTGCTAGTTTGGGACTTCTCGAAGAAGTATTGAATAACCTTGAATTGGACCTGTACGCCGGCTTTATTTTGATGGGCGATTTTAATATCAACTGGTCGCCTGTCAATCCGTGCCCACTGAAATCTACACTTCAAGATTTAGCCGACAGCTTTTGTGTGGATCAAGTCGTTTCTAAACCTACAGGGTCTTCAGCTGACTTTTTGACGAATACCATAATTGATCTGATATGCACATCTCGACCAGATCGCGTTTGTAATGTCAGCATCGAGCCTGGACTGAGCAGTTCTGATCATCACATGGTTTCCTTCAGAATTCGAGGATCTCCTGGTAAGCTGCCAGATCAGGTTCGTGAAACGTTCCAATATCACAAAGCCGATCTGAACCACTTTCATAACTTGCTGTCTGCGGTGCCCTGGAACCTGATTGATTACAGCGACTTAGACGATGCTTGGGAGAACTTTAGCGATTACTTCCTTGCTTGTGTGCGGGAATGTATTCCTGTCCGTCGAGGTAGAAAACGAGTTAAACCCTGGATTTCTGCGGATCTGCACAAGCTGATACTTGAAAAACGCAGACTTTTCAGGAGAGCTCGATCTACAGGGACTGCGTCCGCCTGGAACAAGTACAAACAAGCTAGAAATAAGGTTCGCAAATCCTCCAAAAAGGCTTACAATGACTTTGTGACTGATCTGTTTCAGAAAAAGGATAACCGTAAGTCCTTCTGGTCGTTTGTTAAATCCAAACGAAATACTTCAAACTCTGTCGATTGCTTCCTTCTGTCAGACGGTAGCAAAATCTGTGACCCAACACGGATTGCAGCTGAGTTTAATTATCTGTTTGCCAGTTTCTTTTCCGGATCTGCGGATACCAACGATGTCACTGCCCCTGCGCTGGACATCCCACCTCTGAACAATTTCAGGATAACCACAGCGCAGGTTGCCTCTGAAATCAAGAAACTGTTTGCTCGAAAAGCTCACGGTCCAGATGGCATCAGTGCACAGATGCTAAAATTAGCTTGCCCTACCATCATACCTGTGCTGACTAAATTCTATAAATAGCACGCTTGCTGCAGGATGTCTTCCAAAGTCTTGGAAGCGTGCTAATGTTGTGCCGGTATACAAACGTGGTGACAAAACTAACTTGTGTAATTACAGGCCTGTCTCGTTAACCCCGATCGTCTGCAAAATCTTGGAGAAGATCGTTGTTCCCCAGATACTCGACCACTGTCTGGAGAACGGTCTTGTATCCTCTCAGCAGCATGGCTTTATTCCAGGGAGATCTTGCAACACTGCATTATTATCGGCCACAACGGCCTGGTTGAGATCTCTGGATGCAAGAGTGCCTGCAAAGTTATGCGTTTGTCATGGCGTCAACTACCCAGTCCTACTTACACCAGAGTTGTAACGAGTCACTGATTTTTGTGACTCGAGTCGAGTCGAGTCATTTTAAAAGAAGTGACTCGAGTCGAGTCGAGTCATTAGGTCAACAAGGTCGAGTCGAGTCGAGTCGAGTCACAGAGTGTGGTCGAGTCGAGTCGAGTCGAGTCGAGTCAAGTATTTAGCTCGAGTCAATTCGAGTCACAAATATTTGAACACTAAATTACAATAAAAAGCAACAAACACAAGAGAGAAAGAATACAAGGCACCAGTCTATTACGGAAATCCAAAGACATAAAGTATGCTGTATGGTACCCAACCAACAGTTTCCATTGCTAGCTCACGTCACAGATAAGAAGATGTGAAACTTCGGTCTTATAACCGTTTGGCTTCGAGTCTAGATTTTGTTGTTCGCTGATCGCTGACAACGTTAAAATCTAATTGCATTATACAAAACTGTTTCTGATTATTTAAAGGTGGGCCCGTCTGTATCCATTTTTGTGTGTGAAATCGGGACATGAATTTAGCCAGCGTTCCACCAAGAACTTCAAAATCGCCCGAAACCAATGATGAAACCACGGATTGAGAAATGCGTTTTAAGTCTGGTTCCGGGTTTAGCATTACATGCTATAGAACCACAAGGTGGGAGTCCGCGACACGGTGTATGTTTGTTGTTTCATTATGGAGGAAGGAAACAGACTGCCGCTGTATATAAACGTACATTATTCGCGAACATTAACGTGACGTGAACAAAAACTGGCAACGCGAACGGCGCAGCGTAAGTCATTGCAAATATTTTTCGCAAGTAAGTTTTGCTTTTATTTTGGGACTCGAGTCTTATTAGCCTTCCTCGAGTCGAGTCGAGTCATTCTGATGAGGGACTTGAGTCGAGTCGAGTCATTTGCTCGCAGTGACTCGAGTCGAGTCGAGTCATTTACCCGTCGGGACTCGAGTCGAGTCGAGTCGCCAAAAAATGTGACTCGAGTCGGACTCGAGTCGAGTCATTGACTCGAGTCATTACAACTCTGACTTACACCCTCGGAGGTTCTGCTTTGGAGTGTGTGAGTTCCCTCAAGCTTCTTGGCTGCCTGTTCCAAAGCAACCTGTCCTGGGATTCGCACGTTCAACAGACTCATTGGCCTGATACGTTGAGTATCTGGCAATTGTCACTCCAGTGTTTCTCTCCACCTGTACAAGACCCTCATCTTGCCCATTGTTGACTATTGCTCGCCCGTTTGGTGGATCCACCGCAAAAAGCACACCGACGCCATCGAATCGATCCAGCGCCGGGCAAGTCGTATGATACTGCGACAGAACTATATGGAGCAAAGCTACCAAGATAGACTGCAGAGCTTGGGTCTAATGACTCTTTCTAATAGGAGAACGTTTTTAAACACCAGTTTTTCCACGAAACTTTTAATGTCTATAAGATTGGGTTTTATGTCGGATTTTCCTAATTTGTTCCACGTTAATGTTAGGCACCCAGACATGCTCACTTTCCTTCATTTAAATCCAAGGACTGATGCCTACAAATATAGTGCTGCTGTTCGCTTTCCTAAAGTAATCTCTGAGCTTGATGCTGAAACCAGGAACATTTTGATTTTAGAGGGTGTGGGGGCTTTTCGTTCACATTTGAGGAGGGATTTATCCGACATGTAATTGGGAGTGTGTATAAACTAGCAGACATCAGATATGTTTATATTTTTTATTTTGGGGGGAATTCGTCTCTATACTGGTTGTTTTTAATACTGGTCTTTGGGGCGTTCCTTTTTTACTGGTTTTTACCCTTTTTCTGGTTTGATGATGTTTTAATATAAATCCATTTTTATCAATTTTTATCTCATCATGGTCATTTGGTCTCATTGGGGTTTTTCATCTAAGACAAAAAGCATCTTGAGATAGTACAGTCGGCCTGTTTTTATCATTACATGTTCGTATTTACAGTTGTTTAATTTAGTATAATATGGTTCTTATTTCATTTTTATTTCTTCATTTAAAATTCAGTGTTTTAATTTGAACAGGGGTCTGGTCAAACACATCGTTTGATGACAGTGTTTTATGCTTTTGTTTGTCCTTGGCAGCCCCTGTTCATGTGGTTTTACATTTCCTTTTAATTCAATTTTATATTTATGTCTAAAGATGTAAAATAAAATCCGAAATTCAAAAACGGTGGCGTCCGGAAATTGGGCACAAATTGGCGGAGTGTTCCTAACGTGGCGCACTTGAATAAATCTCAGAAAATTCCAAATTAACTTTTAAGAATTTCTGTAAACTTGATAAATTCTGATAAATCATTATTATCTCTACTTACATACCCAACCAGATGTTTGTCGATCAGAAAATTATTTTCGGGGCATTTTCAAAGGGTTCACTTTGCACTTGAAAATAAAATCGGAAAATCACGCCAAAATAACTCTTACTAAAAATGTCCCATTACGAAGCCATTGGATCCCCATGGGACCCCATGGGGAACCCATGGGAATCAAAGAGATACACATGGTGGTCTCTTAAAACACCATGGAGATCTCTTAAAACACCATGGTGTCCCATGGGAACACTATGGACAGCTAAAGAAACGCCATGGTGTCCCATGTGAACACCATGAGCAGCTACTGTAACCCCATGGCACCACCATGTGGTCTCATGGTGGTCTCTTTGAATACCGTGTGGTCTCTTAAAACACCATGGCGATCTCTTAAAACACCATGGTGTCGCATGGAAACACCATGAGCAGCTACTGTAAACCCATGGCACCACCATGTGGTCTCATGGTGGTCTCTTTAAATACCATGGTGGCCTATCTGAGCACCATGTATAGTCAAAGTAATGCCATGGTGTCCCATGGGAACACCATGGACAGCTATTGTAACACCATGGCACCACCATGAGGTTTCAAAACCACCATAAAAGCACCACCATGAAAATGTAGGGGTGACCATGCATGGGGGCCATGGTGACCAATGGCATCGCCATGGGAATGCTTTTCTATTCAACGGAAATACGAGCATGGGGAAATACCATGGGAATAAACACCATGGGATCGATGAACACCATGGAGATGAATACCATGGAGATGAATACCATGGAGATGAATACCATGGAGATGAATACCATGGAGATGAATACCATGGGGATGAACACCATGGAGATGAATACCATGGGGATGAATACCATTGGGATGAACACCATGGGGATGAACACCATGGGGATGAACACCATGGAGATGAACACCATGGGAACACCATGGGGATGAACACCATGGGAACACCATGGGAAAACCATGAGACCTTTTTTGAAGAATTGTGTCAGTTATGAGTGTTCTAATTGCATTTTTTTAAATTTTGCTATGAATAATTTAAGTCAAATGAAGAATGCACTCTATTTTTATGTGGAGATTTGGCACGTAAAAATACTGTGGATAATTTTAATTCATTTATTATTATTGAAAACAATTTATTATCAAAAATAATTAGGATACATGTACTGTGATTTGATGGTACAACTTTTAAAGTGGTATGGAAGCCGGATACTACTTTTTTGACAAAGAGTGCTTCGACACTCCCCTAAATGCCGTACGCGGGACAATCACGTACCTTCGGAGTCCCATGATGGCCACTCCCCAATGTGAGAATATAATTGACATGGAGTAAATCCATAATGCAGATATTGGATGCTGCTATGGAAAGGTACTGGGAAAATATAATGATAAGGTATATATTCTGAAACAAGCCATGGGACATTTTTGTAAGGGAATTTTTTCTTCTAACCAGTGATGTAGTGCCTTGATGCTGGGCCTTGGCCTTAAGGCTGCCTTAAGGCTGGACTTTAGGGCCTTGGCCTCGAGGCTTGAGGGCAAAAGCCTTGGCCTTGGCCTTGGCCTTGAGGGATCAGTGCCTTGCAATTTTCAGTCAAGGCTCTTCAAGGCCCATAGATTTTTGCATTTTCCAGATAAATCTGTTTGAAATTTTGCTGTTACCATTTTAATCGTGTTACCATGGAGGAGGGAAACACTCTATAGATTTTTGTGTTGGGCACACTTCCACTTTTATAGCATCATATTGTGTTACCATTGTAGTAGATTTGCTGCAACAATATTCTGTACACTTGTGGGGCTAATGAGATAATCACTTAAATTGTATACTTATGGAATAGATCTGATTGGTTGTATATGTCTCCCTGATAAGTGCTAAAGATTTGCATGTACATGTATCTGTTTTAGATAATGCTAATATTTCTGACCATGTTGGCCCAGCAAATAAAAATTTCCCAAATCAGTTTCTTGGATCCCCCTTTTGTTACACTCGGGAGAATTGTGCGTCAATATATCGTTATTTTGTTTTAGTTAAACCATATTCATGAAGACCTGAACTTATACTTTAATAGATACAATGCAGTCATAAAACATTGTATGCGAGCATGTTGATTGCAATTAAAGACAAGTTGTTCTTCTTAATGAGCGATTCGTGATGATGTGTCATGTGACTATAATTAGTTCTATATTAGTGGTCATTTTATAAAACAGGGCCTTGGCCTTGGCCTTAGCCTTGAGGGTTAAGCCTTGGCCTTGGCCTCGAGGCTTGAGGGTCAAAGCCTTTGCTCCAACACTGCTTCTAACTTTGAAACGGGTAAATAAACTCGCGATTTATGAACGGGAGTGTTTAGAACTTGATGAATTTCACTTT